TGTTTTTATATATTTTAATCCACCACTATAGCATTATATAAGAATTTCATTAATAAAGTTAATTCTACTTATGGAGCAATGAATAAAATAAAATATATTAATGATTTTATATAGATGTTTAATTTAATTAACATCCTTAAATCCAAAGTATAAGTTAGTTCTTCTTTGCGACTACTTTTTCTACTTTCATTGCAAAGAAAAAATCTATTAATGATAATAATCTTTATGTAACTTAATTATAATTGAATCTTAAATAAAAATAAGTAAACAAACCTATTTGTATATGGTCACTACTTCTTCTACTCAAATATGTAACAATATTTATAGCATTCAAAGAAAATAGCAAAATTTCTAAAGCTATTAGATTTTGCTAATATCAATGAGTTTCTTTTTATATTACTAATGATGAAATTGTAAAATCCTCATACTTAAAATTTATTTTCTAAATATTAGCTAATAATACATATAAAACTAAATATTTTGTCAAAATTGAGTATTTTAATTAAATAGATGAAAGTATGTTAAAAAATTGGTATCTACTTGCAAATCAATTGATTTTGTGAGATACTACTAAAATTTTGTGTAGAACATCATAGAATATAGTTTGTATCAAATTTTATTAATACTTTTTTTAATCTAGTGGATTTTTACTATTTTATAATAACATAGCTTCTTATCTTTTCTTATTTAAAACATAGGTTTAAACCAATATATAGAGACTATTAGGATGTTATCATCTAGATTTTAAACTTCTTAATAAAGGTTATAAGAAATACTCTTAAACTGGTCTAAGTCCAAATTTAGATATAAATTTAATAAGAACAATACAAAATATTGTAGATTCAATTTACAACAACATTTCTCTAGCAACAGTTTTAGTATTGTAGTAGTGCCTTCAAAGTTTTAATCTCTTAACTTAAAAAACATTGTTTTTTAAGAAATCTCTTCAATATTTTGGTAATACTTGTGTTTATTAATAGAGCCAAGAACCACGCTTTGATACTAAAATACCATACGAAAATTTTAATATGAAATTATCTTCTATACAAATAAACATTATTGGCTTCAATGTATAAAACTTTATACAAAAGTTATCAATGCATTGACTCTACAATTACCTAAATTACATTGTATTTATATAAAGAATTGATGGTAAGTTACGAAAGTAAATTAGATAGAATATTCTTTGACTTTCTAAAGACTTAAAATTTTTAATATGCTTCTTTTTTAAAATAATTAATGAAAACTTTAAATATATTTGGTATTTTGATAAAGTTTGTGTAACATTTAAAGAATCTTTCTCTCTCTATATATATAGCATTAAATAATGTAATTAAATACTCTACTTTCATTTATTCTTTGTATAGTTATTGATGAAATAATGAATTTCATTATATGTAAAATCCTAAGAAAATCACTTGTATTCTTAAATTGATTTTATTTTTTAAGATAATTTTTTTTCATTTATACTGTCTAAATTTCTTACTTTTACTTTAAAATTTATCAATTTTAAAAATAATATATCTTGTGCAATTTTAAGGTGTCTATAGTTTAGAAATAAATAAATAAATATATAAATAAACTGTGATTCTTCACAAAAAAAAATTTGCCTAGAATTTTACTTTTGATATTATATTTTTATTTTTGTAGAATAAAATTCTCTCAAGAAAAATTATAGTACACTCACTGTCATCAAGTAGAATAAATGTCCTGATCAGCTAACCATCATAGTCAAAAATTGAATTGTAAAGTGATTTACTTCTACCACTGGTGCATTTTGATTTTAAGATAATATCATTAAAATAGGTTTTAACTGTTATTTTGGTTTCATAAGTATTTTTGTAGATGTTTTATTTGGTTATTTTCAAATTTAATTTATCATGAATTTTTATTTTTTAGAATTGTCTTGTACGTATGAAATTCTATCATTTTCTTTAATATGATTATAAAGCTTTTAACCTTTTTAGAAGTATTTAAAGCTTTTTAGAATTACATTTTCTTAATATGATTTTAAACAACACAAGAGAATCTTTTTAACTGTAGGTTTTTTTCGAAATAGTCAAATAAGCTCTATTTATATAATTCGACATATTAATCTTTTCACATTTTTACAAGAAAAATGCAATCATTTTTTCTAGATCATATATATTTATCCAATGCATTATTTGAACCTTTGAATAAGATCTTTTTTAAAATTTTTAAAATTCATAATTATACAGTTAAATTTTTTCATCTCCTTCTTTACTAAGTTGCTAAATAATATTTATTATAAATATATACATATAAATTTTGCCTACAATTATTACAGTAAGAATAACAAGAATAAGAATTACTAAAAATGTACATGAGTTGATTTCAAAAGGTTTTTGAAGTTTGTTTATAATTAAATAAAATAAATAAAAAATAAATCATGTAAATTATGGCAAGCTATTCCATCTTTTGTATATGTATGAAAAGAGGAAATGAAACGTTTTAAGAATTTGTAAATGAGTGGTCAACAGCAGTCTCAAGATTTCATTTTTATCATGTTTCTGGTTTTGTGATGAACAAACACAAGATAATCATGTCATGTCAATTAATCTTTATACCACTTATTTCAGGTGGATATTAGCATTAATTGTACCTTAAACGTGCGTAATTTCTTTAGCAGCTAAATTTATCATCTAAAAAAGAGTTTTAAATATATATACATACACATATACACACAATGTAAGATATATAAAATTGGTATGTTTTGAATTCTGAACAACAAAAGTTTCAATGAATTATTCAATCAAATATTTGTCGACGAGTATATAAACACGGGAGTATCCAAATACACCTGTAGAAAAGATAAAGTAACTCCAATTAATCCAACTGTAATTAAAGGAAGTAGAGAGAGAGAGAGAGAGAGAGAGAGAGAGCATCATTGACAGTACACACTAATCAGGAATGGTTGAATTTCAAATGAGTCAACAATTGATACAAAAAAGCTTTTTCTGAAGAAATCAAAATAAAATGGACATACAAAGTGAAGTTCATACAACCAAATAACCTCGACATGAGCGTAAGAGATGACATCGCATTAGCTGTAGACTAGATGAATGCAAGCGGTGCGAATCGATCGAGAATTCACGAACTGTGAGATTTTGCTGTGTTCGGACATCCAGATTGACACAAGTTGGCCGGATTTGAGTGGCAAATACCACCGCTGATTTCGTCCATCAACGACGACGACGACTACGACTACGGCGGCGCAGACTGGGTTGAGAAGCAGACACACGGATCCGCCGTGTTGCAGCTCTCACCGATAAGAAGGATCCGTCGTGGCTAAGCATTTGGCTGGTGTCGCACTTGTGATTGATCCCTTGTGTCGGCGAGCTACGGTTGCGAGAAACCAAACCACTGAAAGAAGCACTTGAACTGTGGGCCAGTATGTGATAGTGCCCAACTTGGCAACTCAATAGTGGTGTGATCGATCGATTCGTGGAGAGGAAGTTTTGGGCGAGACGGAGCGGTGAAGCTACCGCTGCGGGTGATGCCTTGTCTTGGCGGTGCTGAGATTGAAGGCTGGCAATGTTTTCGTCGTCATGGTCTCAGAATGCTTTTGTTTGCGCGGGGATGTCTGATCCATGTGCACGATGCAGTGAACACCCTTACGATAAACCCATTTCGTGTGTTCAGTATCGAACTTCCCTTGCGTATGTGTCTGTATGTGTATATATTTTAATGTGTTTTGAGAACATTTGGAATTCGAAAGGGTAACTTACAACAATCTACGACAATAAACTTGTTGGCAGCAGCATTCAGTAATCATCTACGCTCCCATCTTAAAAATATATAATCCTGTCGGAGAATTATCACAGAACAAATAAACAAAATGTGTATGTACTTTTGAAAAAATAAAATCTAAAACTTCTTTTGAAAACTTTTAATGCATATCATGAAAAACATGCTTCAGTGGTTTTAGTTAAAATCGGCTTTGTGGACCAAATCTGCTGTAGCTTCAAATTCTAAATTTGAGCCCAAAATTTCTTATCGTTAACAGCACACTGTAAATTAGCTGCAGCTTCAGGTTTCGGAACGAAAAGAAACGGTCTAGAATCTGTCATCGGAGGTTGGAATGCACACTTACGCGCAAGTGGAACACCAACATGTGAAGTATCCGGGGATTATGCTATGGTATTCCAGGCTAGCATCAGTGCTTCGTGTCGCTGCGATGACATCTTATTAAGCCCTTGGTGAACTGTTCACGTCCTGCGGCGCCTGGCATCGCGGCCACAGTTGCGGTTGCTTCCGAATTGTCGACCGTAGTCGACAATAGAAGACGCTGGAAAACCGATTTGAATTTGCACGCCGTTACGATGAAACGGAGGTCCACCACTCTGATGAGCGGTGAATGAGAGGGGCAGCCAGTGGTTGATAGATCGGGCAGAGACCAATGCGATGATGGGCGCCGCCGTGCTGCGTGAACCAGCATCGCCACTTCAGCATTGTACGCAATGCCAAAAATAGGCAGGGGATAAGAGGTCGCCCAGGATTCCTACTGCATCTTGCTGAATCTGCATCTGCATCTTGCTTGCGTGGGAATCCCGCGAATCCGCAGCTGGCTGGGTTCGGTGTGACCTCATGGAAAGGACTCGGAGTAGATCTATCAGATGAATGTTGAGGATTGTCACCCGAGATGATTGCTGATGACGCTAAAACCACCGCACATACCGGCAAAGCAATGGTGCCCACTCGGTATTTATCTTGATAAACTGGCACTGAATTCGATAATTTTGACGTTGCTGACTTCAAGGAAGCTGCTGAGTGACGACATTGCAATGAGGGGTACACCTGGCACGGCAGATAGTTTCATCTAATACATCGCCCATTGGATGCGCATCTAGACAACAACTTGGTGTGTCTTTATCATTATCATGCAGCCGCATTTTTCATATACTGGGTTAACGGATTACCCACAACACGGACGATGACTGCAACGTCAAATCAGCGACAGTGAAGGCCATTGGAAACCATGAGCAAAGATAAATGGCATCGACCATAAAGTAGGTACTAAAAGTGATGAGCATAATGCAGCAAGCATTGCTAGATGGCGTACAATGGACTACACTTCAATTGTATCCCTTTGCGTTAAAAAGTATCACAAACTGCTAGCTGCATTCCAGATCGCCAATGAAAGGGTCCTGTACACTTTCTAAGAAACGAAGCACAATTCTACATGTTACGAACTAATTCGCGTTCACATCCATGTAGACATCCATCAGCACCGCAGATGCGATGCGAAAATTACAAAATGAAAAATTGTGCAGCCGAGCCCATGGTTGTAGTGCCTGCAATGAATGAGGGTGAAGCACAAGTTCTGACTTCACCGCTATACTTTCTCGAGTCCTGTTCTGGTTAGGCTTAAGCAAAGCGAAGCATTGAATTCCGCATGTTTAGAAGCATTTCCAAGTGTTGGTCGTATAATTCCTTTTTCAACTTCAGCTGCTGTTCCCGTTCTCGTTGAGATCGCTCTTTCCAGTACTCAGGGCATCTATTCTTTATCAAAACCCCAAGCTCCTTCAGTTTGACCGCGTCGGGATAGACTCCAGCCTGTCGACAGAGGGGGCATTTTGCATCGCACTCAGCTGTTTTGGGGCCCTCGTGCCCCAGCACGGATGCGGCGGTGCAAGCGCAGTTGTTGCAGAATAAGTGCCCACACCCCAAGGCTACAGGCTCAAACAGTGGCTCCTGAAATGGAACGTATTTTCACGTCAGAAACTGTTCGGAGTGTGACCAGGATCACACAGAACGAAAACAAAACTCGCGGTTGACGCCCATGTTTCGCTTTACTTTGAAAGCTTCATGATGAAGTCATTTTTCCATTTAAATTGTTGAAAAATGAAAGGGGGGGGGGAGACGGAATAATTACCAAGCATACGGAGCATGACAAATCGAACTCCAGGGTCGCGGATGCTTGCAGCTTGCAAGTGAGAGTCGGTGATGAACTCTCTAGGTCACACGAAAATTCACCGACTGATTCCATCTCTGTCGGAAAACCCTCTTTAGCATCCGCAAGATTAATATTCAACGCTCCCAGTTCGACCAAATACGGCGACTTCAAGAGCTCACCCCGCAAGGTTATTAAACGGCTTTTGAATAGACCTCCTTCAGTGGATCCATGAACCTGCGTGTGAGGATGGATATTAGAGGTTGCAATTGAAAAAACGATGATAAGTTGACAATCTGGGAAAAAATCGTTTGAGAACCCTTACAAGAAAAGTCTCGCTTCAAAGCCTCACACGGAACAGTCTAGCAACGGGGATTTCCGAATGAAAGTGTACCTTATCATATTTTTTCAATATTTTTCGAACAGCGAGCGCATTCATTGAGGCGTAGTTAATAAGAAGCTGACCCTCCTGAATCATAGCTTCATGGTTGTTACGTTTCCCTCGCAAAATGTACCCTCGTAACCCTGTCGCTAGGTGCAACTTGACCAACTGCTCTGCGCGACTATTGAAGCAACCAACCACTTCGGCCAGCTCCTCCATCAATTCACCGAAAAACTTTGCGTCGCAACCTGCACACCATGACCGAACTGTGAAAATGCTGCAGACGCTACAAACTTTGATGAGTCATGTACAGCCACATTGATTGCCAGCGACCACGAGCTCACAGAAACGAAACAGTGCAGCCAATACTCCATTTCAGGTACGGGGCTATGATCAAATGTGCCCATGAGCTATCTTTTGGGTGGATTCAACTGGCATCGATAACTAGGTTTGTCGACTTGGTACTGTAACGTACCAGGGCATGAAGAAGGGCATATTGCAGTCTTTAAAAGTGTCGCGGGTGATCCCTTCTGTGTATTTTTCTTTGTCTGAGAGAACGACGTAGTCTTTCTACCTGATGAAGGGCAAGTCCCTGGATCCTCAGAACATGAATTTGAAGAGCAAGGGGTGCAGGGATCAAGCTCATCGCCGGAGCTGGAAGAGTCGTGCGCTGGGCATTTCTTTAGGACTTTCTTCAACCTTTTAAACTCCACGTAAGAGCACCCTGCCAATTGGTTGCTAACCACGTCCTTCTCAATAAACTCAGTGTACGTCTTCCCGAACTTCATTCTTGCTCACTTGCATGAGCCTCCGTCCTCGAATCAAATAACGTGTCCGAGCTATTCACCACCTCGAGGATATAATAGGTGTAATATGAAGAAATACTTCTGCGACTAGCAGATCTTTCACCAGACCTAAATCGAAGAAAATGTCGGAATCGAAACCAAAAGGTTCGTGAACCAAAAAGGATCCAAGACTTCGTTCGAAGCAACAGTAAATAAATTCACAGCTTCCACGCGTGTGTCACAACTTGTACAACTCCCTAAAACGGAACAGGAATCCAACACTCACACACGCAAACCTAGACAATCTCAAACGCAGCGACCGAAAACAAGGACGGAGAAGGGAATGGAAAACGGCAGATGCTAGCTTCCAGTTGCCGACACACAATATTGCGACCGACGGATTCTTTCAACACAACACTAGATAACCGAGACGCAATCCCAAAATGGCCAACCACCAAGGGGGCGGGGAAGCTTGTTCACCACAAACGAGAGCGTCAGGCTGCTGTGAGTACAGGTGCTCAACAAACTGATAACTGCGAGGGACGCAGAAGGGTTTTGAAGCTACGCGGCAGCGTGGCAAGTGGCAGGGAAGCCACCGGATATGGAGGAGCGATGGGGGTGGGGGGTGAAAATGGTGACATGCAAATCACTGTGAACGTGGAGTGTCGACGGCCGACCGATAGATCGGAATCCAGCAATTGCTGCGAAGGTGTTGCCGACCGAAATCTCCGTGAATCGAATCAGCAGCGAAGTTGCGCGTCCGGGAGGTTCAACAACCCAATCAATTCCTCCCTCCGTCCCGTTCTCGCCCCTTCGTGATTCTGATCCCTACAGTGTCTGTCTGCCGCGGGTCGCACCCCGCCTGGATTGAGAATCGCCGTCTGCATTAGTCATCGCGTACTAGACTATTTATCTCATACTAGACTATTCATCACGGTCTACATCGGTCATCGCCGTCTATTCATTCATCGTAGTCTAGATTATTAATCACCGTCTATATCGATCATCACTGTCCAATTATTCAATGTGGTCTAAACTATTAATCATTGTCCAAATTGGTCAATCGCCGTATGGATTGGTCATCTCCGTTTAGATTAGTCATTGAGGTTTATCTTTGTAATGGCATTGTAGACTAGACGTAACTGCACATTGGAAACTGCAGCGCAACTGATAACTGAGACTCCTTCATTCACTAGCCCACTAACTAATATGCATATTAAAACTAAAAGTTCTAAGACTTTTCTACTTTACTATAAATTGAAGTGGAACAAATGAAATCTTAATTAGTTTGTGTGTAATTTTTAGATTCAGGTAGAAACACTACTTGCTCCATTTACATGTGTTATAAAAAAGTTATTATTCTTTCAAATTCCACTATTTTTGAAAGACATTGTTGGTTCTTTGTCACTTCCTTTGTAGTGCATCATAATTTCTTGGTTAACCCTCAAAATAAAATTTTATTTAGTATTATAAATTAATAAATTATCCAACTATATGATATTAGATATCAAATTGTATGAATCTTAAAACTTATTATAGAGTTTTCTTTATCTACTTGCATTATGGTATTCTTTAAAGGTATATAAAGATCAATGTTGTGTGTTGTGCCAATGTTTATATCTCAATGTATTATGATTGTTTCATTGAAATCCATCAATATTTCTAAATTTAACCTTTATTATCTTTATTTTTCAACGTATATACAACAATGACTGCTGTAAGGTTGTTTCTTTGATTTTTTTAGATTCAAAGCAAAATCTGCAATGTACATTCTATTACAATGACAATATGTTTATCTTTACTTCTTATTGTTTGAACCGTTGTCTTGGATCTCCTTAAAATAATCATTCTATGTATGAGACTTGTATTCTTATCATATCAATTTTCTAATAATAAATAAAATATACTTATAATTCTAGCACCATCTTCTTAATATGTCATGTATTTTAAACCAACATAATATATTTTTTTATGAAAAAATAAATCTCTATAAAAAATTGGGAAAAAAACTTCAAAAAAATCTTCTTACAAAATCCAAAAAACATTACCATTTATTTATGCAACGTGTTATCCATTTGCAAATTTGTCAATTTGAGTGTATCATGGATATATTGAATATGTGGTTTGCATTTATAAATTATTGAAATGAAAGAAGAAGAAAAATGCTCTTACATACATATTAAGAAAATTAAAATATATGTTTAAGTAGATATGAGCCAATTCAAGAACCTCCAAAACTTTTCAAATGAAAAAATAAAAAGTAATAAAAGATCCTTGAATGCACAATAGCATAATTTCATTTTTAAATCACATAACTTACGTACTTATGTATATATATATATATATATATATATATATAAACACACATATAGAAGAATATTAAATAGACCCACCCATCCTAACTATCATGGAATAAAATAATATCCTCAAGGTTCATTTCTCCACTATTGGATCTATAATCAATAAAAACCAACCACATTTTCAAGGCAAATTTATCAATGATTTTACTTAAACATATCTTTGATCTACTTGAAGGTAAACCTCAAATAAAAAAGATATAAGAATACAAAGTCTTATTGAACTAGTGATAGTAAACACAAATGTCACACAAGAAGGTGGAAGTTTAACACTTTTCATTGTCTTTTTTTTTTTTTTTTTTTTTTTTTTATAATTTTAGTCTTTTTCATCATGTGTCCAAAATTAATGAAAGATGTTTTATTCCACATTATTTGTATTAACACTATTCACCATTTCCTTTACAAATAAAAAAATTACGTAAGTTTTATTTGTGTTGCATAATTTCGAAATAATCATGTAATAATCATGTTTTATCAAATGGCATTGTGCTTTTTAAAGAAGACTTGTAGCGAGAAAGTATCATCCAACATTCATCCAATTGGATGAGTTCGCCACGAACGATGCTGACTCAGACTCAATGATTGATGTCTCAGATAGTTGGCTGTTGCTGCCACGTGTATGGGTCCAATGTAGCACCTTACGTGGCTGTCCATCTTTACGTCAACATAACTTTCCTTGAATTAGACATGTTTATTATTTTATTTTATTTTTTGTTTATTTTGCCTTCAGAGTAAATTATTATTGTTATTATTAATATTACAACGGAATGAACTAAACTTTTGGGGCTTTACCAGAGTCCTAATTTTGTTCATATATCCTTAGATATGAGTTGAAGGAGGTACCAAGTAAAAGTTCAAATCATAACACTTCAAAGGATGCTAGCATAAAATTCTCAACATTGCTTGGTAAGGAGAGTTGAATCATTTTAGGCTTACAATAGATACTTTTAATATATTTTTACCACTTTAGGGGGTCATATATATATATATATATATATTTGTATATTTTAAATTAAAAAATGAAGGTATCATTATCAAATTTTATTCAATTACATTACAGTAATAGGATTCCTCCATTTGGATGTAATTTTTGAAGCATAATGCCATGAATTGTTGATCAAAGGCTATGAAAAATAATTAGTGATGTCAACATGATGGAGACACGAGAAAGAAAAAAGTAAAGAAAATAAAATAAAAAAATTGAAGACCAGCCGAAATAAAAATAAAAAAATACCACTCATCCTGATATTAGGCCACGGTATTAGGTGCCACGCTGTCTTGAGGCCGACCATGTCTACACGGGTCCCACCACCGGGTAGGCTAAAGAACCTCCAGGTCATGGCCATCACCCGAGGTGGCCTAATCGCGGGCGCCAGCTCGGATGCCAGAGTGGACAGCTTGTTGGGAACGACGATCGAGGTTCCCTTCGTTCCACACATGTGGGTTCCATCCTGGGAACGCGCCGTTAGGGTTTACCGTCGGCACGGGGCGTTTCGGTGGCTTTGGCGAAGGGGGTGAGTCTCGAATCACTGAGCTCAACGGTCTCAACAGGCACCGTCACTTCAGCTCGTTGAGAAAGATGGTTGTTTTCTGGTGTTGCACGGAGACATACGCGCACACACACACCAAATCTCATACTGTCGTTATATACGACCCCCTTGTGCCGAATTTCGGCGCTTGTGATGATATGTCCACACCGTGAAGCCCCTGTGCATGCAACCGTTGATCTCGATCCATCAGTTAGGACTACCCCACAGAGACTGTGTCGCCATGAATTAGAAGCATATTCTCTCTGTTACCCGCATGCACAAATCTCATTCGGCTGCCTAATTTTCGAGCTAGAATAGAGAAAATGCAACGGCACGGTTCAGGTTTGAAATATTGTGCAAAGCTGGTCTGTAGGAGATGCACTGCAGTGCTAGAGTTTCGGTTGGGTTGGAATGGTCAGGAAGAAGTTGAGAGCAGCATAAGTTAGAATGTGATGGCTCCCAGTCTTTGGACAAGGTTGCCGAGGACCTCATCGACGAAGAGAAAACACGAACTCCGACGTTGCTGGAGGACATTTTCTACATGAACTAGAGTTAGCCCTACTGTTGGCACCCATCAAGGATGTCTCTCCTGTGGCCACGAGGCGACGCTGGACTGACCCGTCTGGTACGTGAACAGTTCGATACTGATGCGATTCTCGTACAATGGGGACTTGGTACAAGAAACAATTGTTTTGATTTTATCCTGTTATTAAACGAAATATTGTTTCAACGGGGACTTGCGATCTGATTCAAGCACGACCTATCCTTGTCGACCGTATCTTCTTGTTCATCAGGAACTGTGATGTCTTTCTTCTCGCTAATCGCCACACTTCCATCACAAATAATCTGGTCGCACTTAGATTGTGCACGACGATCAATGTATCGTAACAGGATTTCAGAGTTGCGATGGAGCTAAGATCTCAGATTTTGCAAAATGATGAATATGCGAAACTTTCAACACATTTCTATGCGACGACGATCAAGCTGTTGAGGACCTCAAACCTTGTTCCAAACCTACCCTTAATTCTCCATGCTTTTCAATTGGCATGTTGCGATTTTAGTGATTTTTGTGTAGAAAACTTATTCAAAATAGAACTCACTTAAACGGAATTTATGCCGCATGTTGAACATGCCAGATTCTGTTATTGTATTTATTGTAGAAAAAAAATTTGTTGTTAGATGTTGAAACAATAATAAAAATAATAATAAGTTCTTATTTGACCATTACATCAATCCAATTCATCCAATAATGTTTGACTATCAATTTCATTATTAATGGTTCAATTTAAGATACATACTATATTATTAATTGCTTTAGTTCAAAGCCATAGTGATTTTTTTATTTTATTTTTTTTCCATATAAAATTAGTCTTATTGCATTGAATATAGTTTGATTGTCTTGTTCAACAATTTTTTTGTTTGAACTGTATTATCAAATTTTTTAGTAGCAATAACTAAGACTGAAATTACATTGGCTGTAGATGTTACTTGTAAAAGAATAAATAGCAATACAAGTTGTAAAAATAATTAATATTATCAATTAATTTGTTTGTCTTCTAATGTAATTTTTCCTAATTTCAATAGAAGATTATATGCTCCTAGAATTGTGACAAAGGAAGTATTGTCTTTGAAGACAATGCCAAAAAATAAAAATAAAATAAAATAAAATAAAATGCAAGCTA